GTTTAAGAGGATATCAAACTAGTTATATGGTAACATCAAGCTCAGTTTTAGCTTTTAGCAGGAATGATCTGATTATTTTGTTGGCTACTAAGTAATTTAAGTATGTTTTTGACTACAGATGTACAATATTTTTGATTATTCTTGCCTTCTTGTTTCAGGGATCACATTTACATTGCCCCCTCAGGCGTTCAAAAAGAAAGAATGCAGCCCAACGATTTGTTTTGTCAGGATATCCATGGAAATGACATCAAGCTTCCTCCTGCTGAGAAAAAACTTAAGAAAAGTCAGTGCACTCCTCTGTTCATGAATGCATATAGAGGTAAAATAGTCAAAATTATTTCATTGATCTGGTCTTTCATTTTTTTTAATTGGAGATTTAGGTCCCAAAAACAAGATAGGTAGTGGCTGAAAATTTACATTTTTATTAACGGCACAAAAATTCTAGTGAGGTGTCAACTTTAATGTTTTTTGAGTTCTAAATTTTTAAAAAAATTGTCAAAAAGACCCCTCATCCCAGCGAAATGCCCTGCGAAAAGATGGCAGCCGATTTTGGCCGCCATCCTAAATGGCCCCATAAAATTTTAAACTTCAAATACGGCGCCAAGAGAAGACTCAACTACTACACTACACTACATACTACAGTTACATATACAACACTACTAGAGCTACATATTTTTAAGGTCGCAGGCTCCAAAAACAGCTGGAAAATCACCTCAAGCCAACTGGTCCCAATTTAGTTTGCATAGGGTCTAAATTCGGCCGCCATTTGTTTAGACTGTTCCTGATTCCGTGGCTAGAGCGCTGTGGGTTAAGTGATATGTCTAAGGGTAATTCTCTGCTATTTCTACTATTTCAGTCCGAAATTTTCGAAAAATGAACTCTTAAAGACGCCTTGGCAGACATGTTTTTCTGAAACTTCTCGTAATTTGCACACGGAATCAATAATGGTTTCTACAAGAAACAGAGTTTCAGTCTTTCGCTGGGCAGGCAGAAATTATGAACCCGGATAAAATCTCAACTCAGTCCCTCTGCTTTTTTGTCTTTATTTCACATAATTGTCCTCCCAAATGTTTTCAAACTGCATGGAAATGTGTTGTAAATGCAATGAATTTTCATTAAAAAAAGCCTCCAAATTGTCAGGAAAGGAATTATCTCCAAAAAAGGGCAGATTTTGGGATGGAAAACTGAAATATATCTAAATTTCTTCCTGCCAATTTCTTCATTTCCCTGGTGGATTTTTGTATAGAATACATTCAATTTTTTTTAGGTGTTACATCGATATTAGTTGTAACAAATCCGTTTTGGTGCTAGAGGAACTCATATTTCTGTCAAAATTAAGCCATACCAAAATGGGGACTGATTTGAGAGGAAATGAATGTGATAGAGAGATAGATGTAATGGAAAGAGTGTCTAAGAGGAAATCGGGAGGGGGGGACTGGGAGACATGAGAAGAGGGTGAAGGGGGAGGGAGTGAGGAGGGAGAAAACGAGGGGAAACAGGGAAAAAAAGAAGTTTTTCATACTTTAAAGAACTCAGTCCCCATTTCTCAACTCATTGTCAGCCCCCCCCCCCTCGCTCATGGAATACTACTCTTACGGGACTGAGTTGAGAAAACGGGGACTGAGTTGAGATTTCTGCTTGTTTTGATGGAAGAAAAAATTTGAAGTCATGTTTAACGTCAAAACAGAATGTACTCCGTGATTAGGTTTAGGTATTACGTTAAATATGTAAAAATAGTTGAACTTAGTTGAAGCTTTCCTTATAATAATGCAGGGACAGGACAAGGGTCTACGATGTGACATCCTGAAATTGGGTTCATTTTGCTTGTACATGTAGAAGAGACAAACTTAAGGTTGGCTCATTTTTTTTTAGCCGTCACCTCCCAACCGTTCTCGAGATATCGATTTTTACAGTTACGATTTTTGCACGTTTCCGCGCGGTGTGCCGACGAGTTAACTGAGCGCTGGCAAGCCGCACAAAGCGCCGCGCGCCCTCCCTATGAGCGCCGGTCAAGATGAATACCTACCAACTTGACCAGCGGCTCTCTCCAACCACTCTGTAGCCGAGTAGTAGGTAGCGCGCTCGCCTTCCACTCAATTCTCAGTTCGATTCTCTTCCCAAGGTTCTGACTTTGATACACGTCTCAAGGCTGTTTTACATGTTTTATTTATTTTTATCACATGTACTGTTTCTCATTCATTCTTTTTATGCTCCATCACAATTTCAATGCATTTTTTTTATGAGTGCTTATTTCTTTTATTAAATTTCTTTGTTGTTTTTTTTCTCTCTTTTCTTTTTTTTCGCTCATTTCTTAAGGAAGCTCGTCCAATGAGGCAACCCGTAACTACGCGTAATCTGTTAGCGTTCGGTCTAGCAAATGCAGTCCCTTCAATCGGGCCCCATTATAAATTCACTGCTTCTTTAGGATGGGGAGCAAAATTTAAAAAAGCGCACGGGATCAGGAGGCGAAAAGTAGTGCGCTACATAAAATCCAAAAATAAACCAAATTTTGAACAAATTCTTAAAGAGGAAAAAATCCAAGGCGTATGATCCATTGTTAGTGATAAATTGTGATCTGGCCGGTATATATGTCGCAGGCTAAAGGTCAAATTCGGCATTTAGGCAAATGCCTGGGCAAATAGAAAAGAAATGGTAAAAATCATTGAAATTCGTCGATTGCCTAGGCATTTGCGCAAATGCCTGAAGATTTGACCAAATGCCGAAGGCTGATTAGGCAAATAGTAAACTGTGTTCTTAATGAGGTCAAGGTGACACCAAGCTCCAGCCCGGCTCACAAAGTAGCTGAAACTGCAACGTCGAGCTCCGAGCCTACTCAGAATGTGTGTGGTGATCAATCCCAATGCTCCTCTTGTCAAAAGCCTGGTAGCTTAATAAAATGCAGCTCTTGCGATAATTCATGTCTTCAAGAGTGTGGTAATGAAGACGGCGACCAACCATTCGTTTGTAAGTATTGTCATGGCGAGGCAGAAATACGCACAACAAGAGCGGAAGTCCATCTACGACAAAAAGTTGCAGCTCAAAAAATGACAGAAAGAAGTTCGAAATGATTCACACCTTTAAAAGTGGAAGATACAATTATTTTGAACTTTTCAAAATTTGATCGTGGTCCGTTGGACCCAAAAAACATCGAAGGAATTGTTCTTGACGTCCGCAATAATGTTTACCAAATTGGAACACCCGCAGGTGTCATCAAAAGTTGGTGTTCGCGGGAAGAATTGAAACAAGTAGAGGCAATAAAATTTGAAATATCTCAGGTTCTGAGGGATAAGCTAGTGTCGGTCCGCGAAGCAGTTTCTGGCGTTTCATTATTTGAAGGGCAAGGCTTTGTCAAGTGTAATTGCCAAGCCAGTAAAAATCAATGTGCGACCAAACGATGTTCTTGCTTCAAAAATCAGAGGAAATGTTCCAGCAAGTGCCACCAACCCATCGCGTGCTCGAACAAGTAATGCTACTGCCCCATTCTTTTTAAGGTACAGACTTTCTTTTTTTTCTTTTTTTTTTTTTTGGCCGTGGTTTTTTGGATTATTGCAAATTGACTTTTTCTCAGATTTTGACTATTTGCCTGAAAAGGAACATCATTTGCCTTTTTGCCTAACGTGCCCTCGGCGTTAACGCAAATGCCTAGGCTTTTATGTAATTGCCTCGTCATTTAGTCAAATGCCTAGGCAAATAGCAAATCTACGTTTTCGATTAAATTTGCCCATTTGCCTAAATGCCGGATTTGACCTTCAGCCTGCAACATATATTTATATTTTTCTTATGGCATTATATGTATGTTTTTAAAGGCTGTGTTTTCGTAGCAAACAAAAGAAATGAGCGGAAAAAAACAACACAGAAATTTAATAAAAGAAATAAGCACTCATTAAAAAACATGCATTGAAATCGGGAAGGAGCATAAAGAGAAGAAATGAGAAACAGTTTATGTGATAAAAATAAATAAAACATGTAAAACAGCCTTGAGACATGTATCAAAATTAGAGCCACGGGGAGAGAATCGAATCCACGACGACTTGAGTAAGGCAAGCGCGCTACCTATCACTCGGCTACAGAGCGGTTGGAGAGGGCCGCCGGTCAAGTCGGTAGATAGGTATTCATCTTGATCGGCGCTCACAGGGAGAGCGCTTTGTGCGGCTTGCCGGCGCTCAGTTAACTCGCCGGCACACCCCGCGGAAACGTGCAAAAATTGTAAATGTAAAAATCGATATCTCGAGAACGGTTGGGGGGTGACGGTTAAAAAAAAATGAGCCAACCTTAAGTTTGTCTCTTCTACATGTACAAGCAAAATGAACCGAATCCCTGCAGCCTGATTGTTGAAACTTTAACTGGCTATGTCGGCAAGATAGGACAAGACATAACCCTATCTGCGCCGTGTAATGTATCGATTTTTGATTCTTGTCGTACCGACATAAATCTCAACAATTAGGCTGCAGGATGTCAAATCGTACACTCCCCTTGTGAGTTGAGCCGGTTCAGGATAATTTTAACGTTCACACTTAAAAAAAAAAAAATACTTAAACACGTTGTTGTTAGAGTACCTTTATAGACAGAGTATGGCCATTTCTGTGCCGGTTTTTCATTAGTTGCGGGAAAATAGGCTGACACGAGTAAAGTAAAAAGTAAAAAGAGTTGTTTCTATCAGTTAGTGTCTCAAAAATTACGAAGAGCGTATTGGCAACATTTGAAATGCACTCCGAACTTTACAATCTGCGTAAGAAATTCGCGTTTTTTTGAGCTTCCCGCCTGAAAAACAAAAGGTTCTATGGCACAGCTGAACATTCCGTCAGTGGTGTCTTTCTATCCAACCTCTGTGCACTAGGATACTACACAATAATTATTCAACATGGCCGACACCAATCCATCAAAACACAAGTGCTGGACGAGATTCTAACCATTTGTGAACCACCTGGCAAGTTTACATTCACGATGTCTTCGCATTGATAAGGATCCGCCTTGGCTGACTTGGTATTGCGAAACGGTTGAATGGAACGACTACTCTAACGAAATTTTCACCTGTGCCTTAGTATTGTTTTTGAAGCGGGAAGCTCAAAAATATGCAAATTTCTCACGCAGATTGTGGAGTTAGAAGTGCGTTTCAAACTTTGCCATCGTGATTTTTGACACTTACTGATCGAAACAACCCTAATTTTTGTTATAGCTTAAGTTTGCAATAGGCCCATTTCTTGAATGTTATTCTTCTCTATTGGACACTCCTTTTCGCAAAATGTCAATGCCTACAACGAATTTTTTTCCTTTCAGCAGCATTGCCAAGTGTAAAACCGTAAAATTCCATATCGATCG